AGTAGTCCGCCATGACCTATGCTTGAGAGAGGAGGTTGAAGGAAGGAAGACATAGCCATGGTGGACTTGTTGTTGTTGTTGTTGGGTTGTGAGTTGAGTCAACAGTAAGGGGGGAAATTCGGACATTGATTGTGGTTCATCCATTCATTGTTATTATTATCATTGAGAGAAGAATAAGATTGGTGAAGAGGAGGAAGGAGGAAGGTGGAGAGTGAAGGGGGAATTGTCATTGGTCTTGATGGTGTACTTCTTCTGCTTCTTCTTCTTCCTCTTCTTTTTATCTCTCCTCTGGTCTTTATCTCTTTGCAAGTGCTTTAATTTCTTCGCAATTGGGTGGCATTGTCTTTCATTGTGAATTTGCACTTGGGAAATGACCAGGATCGTAACATCTCTCTCTTTCAATACAACTTCTTCAGCAAATACCCAGCATCTCCCATATACTGCATCAGCACTTCTTTCCTTTGGAACATAGATTCTCACATCGTACACATCCAGATCGGTGAAATAGAATGTCAGTACATATAATCGTTCTTGCTCCCATCCCCTCTCGACCATCTCATACCTGACAACTTCACATGGAAATGCCTCTCTCTTGCTTAGAGTATTCAGCGACCTTAGGAGACATTCGACCTTCTTTTGACTTCGACCCGAACCTCTGCCAAAATTTGACCTTCTTTGTCTAATTATTTCTGCTGAGATCTCTTCAACTCTCATGACCACCGTTTTTTTTTTCTCTTGTCAATACCATGTTGATTATCGACAGCCAGTTAGTCCCATCACAATAGTTGTCAGGTATAGGAGGGATTGGAACAGTCTTGTATGTTACTGGCATTATACCCCATTCCACTTTCTTCTTTTGCTTGATCAATCTGCCTTTTCGTCATAATAAATTGGATCACGATCTCCCATAACCAATTAAAATTATCACCATCATTGCTGCCTCCGTCTTTGACATATGGGCGGATAACATAAATATCTCCCTCCAAGAAGTGAGTCAGCACTACACAGATGGTTGAGCCACGAGAGTGATAGCCCCAACAAGCCTTATATATCTGTAAGGAAATATTCCTCTTGTAGTAAATTTAGACAATTCTTTCAGAACACCATCGACCAGCATTTGTCTCGATCCGTCTCACTCTTTTCCTTCCAATTCCTTTCAGCGTGTTGGGCGATAATTGGCCATACCTGATGTCAAGCTCGATTCTCTCTAGTCAATAATATCAATCTTTTTTTTCCCGATCCAGTGTGGGAGCTCACACAATGAAGAAATCAATCATAGTCAGCAATCGTGATTCTCAAGAGAATTGGGACTCAGATGAGAATTATAAAATTAACATGAAGCTCACAAAAATGTTAACAATTCTCATGTCCTAATCAAGGCTTAAAGATGATGTTGACCCAGGCTCATTCCGGACACGAAAATCTTTTCATGTCCCCGGTAACGGCGCCATTTTTGTCGCAGGTTTTCCAGCCGAGCCACTTCGAGCGACCGGAAAGCTAACAGGCTGTCACGCAGGAGTTTAATAGTGGTTGCAATAAATAAATTAAATTAAATAATGCAGATCCCTTCCTGTTGTGTGCGTCCGGCTTCGAGCGAGACCCTTCAATTGCGGTCTTCGCTGGTCCCCGCTCTTAGGAATCTTTTATTTTGATTCGGAACAGCAGAGAGTCATGCAAATAATAATCATAAAATTATGGGGTGCTATGCATGCATCAATTATCAATCTGATTTTGAGAACTGTGACAGAATCATCCACGATAGCAATCATCAGGTAGGAACAATGCAAGAAGCAAGACCGACTGACTCGAACAAAGGCAAGGTCAAATGAATGAGGGAAGAATGAAAACTCATAATAATCTCAGAAAGTACACATGAACAAGCATGGTTAGCACCTCTCAAGAGTCCTCACTCATCCCTCTGGTCAGTCTCTCTCAATCTCTCTTTTCACTGATCTTCTCTGGTGGCGTGACCCACGCCCACGTACAATCTGAGACTGAGGCTTCGTGACAAAATGCCACCTGAAGCCAGCAAGCTCTGAGCATGACCATCTGAGGCACATGACACGGTAGTTAACCATAGAGCAAAACTCCTCTCACAAAGTAGGCAGTCTGTCCACTGAAAAGACTCCTCGTCTGAGGTAGGGATACTCGGTGGGCTCGGTCAACGCCTCAACGTCGATCACTATCGGAGAGATGTACCTCTTTGCCAAACCAATCACATCCAACAAGCTCGTGCCATCAGTGAGAAGAGAAAGGAATGGAGGCCTGGGATAGTCAGTATAAAGCATCGGCCCGAAGCTGCGGATCAACGTAGTGCCACTCTCATCGAGCTCCCTCTCTCTCTGCTTAAGGTATTCGGTGGTTGAGACTCAGACTGGATTGCCCTTCTTCAGGTAAGGCCTCAGATCGTGGACAGTGCCATCAGCAAAACTGGTCTGGACAACGAAGATTGACAGATCTCCCTGTCTGAAACCAATGGCACTAACATACCGATAACGGAATGCCTCTTTGCATGAAAACCGGTTGAGGCTGGCCACCACTGACCCACTGACCGGCGTAGACTAAACTGTGCTCATGCGTACTCTTGCCAGTACAAACTGACCAGATGGTGCCGGAGAACTGGTTACCAAACTGATTGCACGAAACTGATTGCTAATAACTGATCGCTGATGATTAATTGCTGATTAAATGATTGCTAAATGTCCGGATATGCGAGTTCCTGTTCAGAGACAAAACTCTCACGGATGGCTGCCAACAGTCCTCCTTGCCTCCTCAATAGTACCCTCAGAAGTCATGGTGGCACATCGTTTCCCTTTCTTGCCGTGCAAATAGTATGTGTACTCGATTTTAGTATCGTTTTTCACGAGGGTCAGCACATGTTCCATCATCGTAGTGGTCTGTTGATTGTATTCCTCAACGGCACTCTCCCTCCAGGTCTCTGCAGTGCTCTGATACAGCGAGCAGGAGACTCTAACTGTGTTGCTGCTGTCCATATTCTCGCCAAATTCTTACTACATCAGTTCACCCATCTCGAGACGAGTGACTCTTGGATGATCCAGATATGAAAAGGCCTTTGG